ACAGTTCACTTCATTAGAAGCATATATGGGCTGGAGTCTGTGGAAGCTTAGGGTAGGAATACTGTACATTTTTATTTAGAGGTGCAGCAGGTTTCCTTTGTATCTTTTCATGCTGAAACAGACTACTGTGGCTTCGTCTTTGACTCCTTCTCCTAATCTTGTTAACCAGAGGAACTCCCTGCCCCATGATGCTGCAGAAGTGCTGTTCTTGGAAGTATCTGGGAAGCCATTTCTCTTTGGCGCCCGCTGTCATCATCACATTTCATCACATTTGGTTTAAAAGTTTCCCCTTAAAGTGTGGGAAAAGGCCAGGGAGCATCGTGCTTCTTGGTGTGTGCAAACCTAATGGATATTTTTTTAAAAAAAACACTGATCAAGTATTATATATAATCTGAAACAGCCTTTATGGCTAGGCAGTAGCCACCCAAAAACCTCGTGGCAAATTCAGGATGTGCCTTTGCTTAATTTGGGTCTAAAGCAGATATTTCGGGAAGTGTCTGGAGACACGAAGGCAGAATCTGCAGCATGCAGCTGACCATCCTCGGTGTGCATGGTCCTCAAAGCTCTGAAAGCAGCCTGTTTTCTCCTCATGTGATTTCATGTACCTTAAAAACTCATAGTAGGAAACTGGGATAGATTTTCTGCAACAAGGAATATATATATATACATATATATATATATATGCTTTGAATATTTTCAAACTGGATGCTTGAATCCACGGATAAAAAAATCCATGGATACAGATAAAGATTTTCTAGCTCATATCTAAGACAGGAGCAGACAATGTTAAGTAATCCTAAAAGGCAGGGATGGGGAACGTACGGACCTCCATATATTTTAGGACTGCAACTCCCATCAGACTTAGCCATACATGGGTTTAAAGGATAATGGGAGCTGCGGTCCAATATTTGCAGCTCCATCCCTGCTGTATTCTGGAAAAGTTGCCTTGCTCTTAGTGTGTGTAGGTGCGGACGTCCTCAAAACCGGTTTAACTCCTCTTCGGCTCACATGCAAAGCCGAGGCAATATAAATTATTTCTGGAGGCACTATCTTCTAATTTTAGTTCTTTTTCTTTTTACTATGTAATGGGTGAGCGTTTGATTTCTCTTTCTCTTTCTCTCTCTCTCTTAAATTACTCCCTTCCCTTCAAAATAAAGTCTTTCCAAGGCTGTTTACAATATAAACAGTAAAACCAATAATAAAAGGGCTTTAAAAAAAAAGAACTAACAACCACATCATAAGGTACATCAACATTATAAAAAAGAAAAGATTTAGAATGGGCACGGAAATAATAAGCGTCAAGACAATGAGGGTTTATAAGAAGAAATCTGGTGGAGCAAAGGCTTGTGTCAGAGCATAGGGGCTTTGGCGGAGTTGTGTGTGAAAACCACAGGAACACAACTCACAAAGCCTAAATGCAGTTGGTTCTTCAACTGTGTGTTGTGGTCTGCCAGGTGTGGAACGACACCCTTGTTGTGCAGTCTTGGATAGGTGGCAAAACCATGTTTTTTGAACCCTTGGTATGTTGCTATACCCATCCGATGGGCTTCGGTCACCTTTAAGGGCTACATACTTGTTGAGCTTTCTGGGTTTAAATGATGCATAAAGCAGACGCAGGGGAGCAGCCAAAGAACCTGGAGACACAACGCCGGATGTTCAAAAAATGATTATTAGTCAGAAATCCTGGCACATTTTGGCCTCTGTGCCCTCTTTTAAGGTCTTGTTTGAGTATTTAGAATCCCCCTTGAAGGCTTTCTGTCCCAGGAACTATTTCAACCTATTTACTGGATTAGCCAACTATGTTTGAAGAAAGTCTTAAAATTATTGTTGTGGCGGTGTGCCTTCAAACCGTTTCTGACTTATGGCAACCCTATCATGGGGTTTTCTGGGGCTGAGAAGGTGTGACTCACTCAAAGTCACCCGGTGGGTTTTCGCGGCTGAGCAGGGCTCAGAGAACTCTCATCTCCAGGGTTGTAGTCTAAAACTTAAACCTCGTTGTTGCTGTTGTTGTTGTTGTTAACTGCCCTCAAATCAGTCTCGACTCATGCGATTGTGCAGATGAGACATCTGCAAGACCCCTGTCCTCAACTGGTCTGCTTAGGTCCTGCAGCTCAAACCACTGTACCATGAGTATACACAGGCCAAAATGCAACATGCTTTTTTACTACTAAAATACCCATCTTTTGAGCATTTTGAGTCCTGTCTCTGGTGTCTTCTGCAGGTTGAATTGATACCGAAATGTGGCACTTTCCCCTCCAGATGTGGTTGACTTGAGTGTGGCTTCACTGCCAGAGAGCAGAAATGCTGTCTCAGGACACAAGAGCCTTGGAGAGAGAAGTACAGGAGAGAAGTTTTGGAGACATGGAGAGCAGGGCCAGCCCAAGTCATTTTGCCACCTGAGGCAAAAAAACAGCGTGATTCCTCCTACAGAAGCCAAACCTGACTGGCGGCTGACTCCTTCTTTAGTACTGGGCAATGAGGCAGCATCCTCTACCGCAGCAGGCTAGCAATTTAGATATAGGGCAGGGAACAGTGTGGTGTAGTGGTTTGAGTGTTGAGACTGTGACTCTGGAGACAAGGTTTTGATTTCCAGCTTGGCCATGAAACCCACTGGGTGACCTTGGGCAAAGCACACTCTCTCAGCCTCAGGGGAAGGCAGTAGGAGATCTCCTCTGAACAAATATTGCCAAGAAAACCCCATGGTAGCTACGTACACCTTAGGGTTAAATGACTTTTGGCCACCTAAATGGAAATCATAAGAAAAGTGGTGGGGAGGTTAAAAAGAAATCACCCTGGATGCCCTTTGGAAGATATGAAATGGCCTCTAGAAAGTTCAAAATGCTTTTCTTTCCTTCTGCAGGGCTTACCTCCCCTAGGTGTTTCATTTCACATGGGCAGAGTGTATTTCGAAAAATAGGTTTATGGAAATGTGTTGAACTCCTCTCCTTTTTTGTGGTCTAGAAACCTATTTCTTCCATGTTATTTCTGCTTCTGATACTAAATTTTCTGTTACAGGAGTTCATTGTCGCGTGCCTTCACCCCCGAATTGTGGTGACCCTAAGACAAAACTATCACAGGGAGTCCTTATGGTCAAGCTTTGTTGACAGGGGGGTTTGCCATTGCCCTTCCTTCGGGGATGAGAGAGTGTGACTTGAAGGCTGATTATCTCAAATACACAACACAAACAGAGAGTAGCAGCCAAGGAGTTGTTGTTGTGGTTGTTAAACTCTATTGCACCCATCATCTGCTGCCTGATGCAGTAATGGAAGTGACACATACAGTTGCTGTCCTGTATCAGCACCGATCGATTTTGCTGGCGCTTCCTGATGCCACGCCAGCCCCAGCATGCGTTTTGCCTATGGGAGGCTGGCTGAAAGGGCAGACCTGGGCCGAGTGCATGGCATTCGTACTTTCGCATCCCGCTGCTGGTTCCTGAGTTTGGCAGACATTACATTTTCTGGATGAGCAGGCCGGGTTATGTCCTCAGAGGCCTCCCAGGAGATGCTGCTGTGTCTGGTCCAGGAGTAAGATGGGCGATGGATGAGCCAGAGGAAATGCAGGCAGCGGCATACCTGTGAGCGGAATAGAAGTTGTTGTGCCGGAATGAAATCCTCTTGTGTGCCGCTGACTTGCAATTGAAGGTCAAAGACTAAGAACCGGAGGAAGGTCTCCAGCCTTCCTGACAATGGGACTTGCTTGGAAGGAAAGCCGCGGTGGCTGTTAACTTCCTCCTGCTCTGGATGGCTGGCTCTTGCTTTGAAGTGCATGCTGTCTCTGTTTTCACTGGCATTCCTGCCAGATAATTAGAAGGGCCGGGACTTAATTATTTGCTCCTTTCAGCCGTGCTCCATTTTATAACTTGTCTAAGTCACATAGAGGGGATTGCTGCAGGAAGGAGCTCTGCCTAGTTGTAAGGCTCTGGAGATCCACCTGGGATCCCGATATCTGGGGGATCCATCTCTAGGGAGGTCAGAATGGAGATCAAAGTTTGTGGCTGTATAAAATTGGAAGCAGCCACAAACTTGAGGTTTACCCTGCTGGGCCACCAAAAAAGGCTGCAGCAGCTTGCTTTTGCTGAGTCTACAGGGACGGGCAAAATCCCACCTCTCCTCTCTTCTCCTTCCTGCTGAGTGAATGGAGCACAAACTACTTTGAAGGGATTTTGCAGCCATGGAAGTAAGCTGAGGGCAAAGGGAGAGAGGAGGAGGAGAGAGACATTTTAAAAGCAGCTGAAAGATTGGGACGGATTGGGACTGGCCCTGCCACATTGGGATGGTTGGCGGGTTGCCGTCGTTGTGTGCCTTCAAGTCATTTCTGACTTAGGGTGACCCCTAAGGCAAACCTGTCATGGGTTTCCTTGGCAAGATTTCTTCAGAGGAGGTTCCCCTGAGGCTGAGAGAGTGTGACTTGCCAAAGGCTACCCAATGGGTTTATATGGCCGAGGGGAAAATTGAACCCCGGTTTCCAGAGTCATAATACGACATTCCAACCACTGTGCCAAGTTATAATGTGGCCCTTTGGAGGAACTGAACCCACCAGCGGTCGGCTTGCAAGGCATAGTGTTCTCTGCCTGTCCTTCCCTCCGCCCCTGTTTCAGCAGGGATTTCTCCGGCCCTCCTTGGCGCCCAGCCCAGCCTCCCAAATGGCTGTGTGCCCTATATAAGCTTCTTGTGCAAAGCAGGCCAGCTATAGTCCTGGGCGTTCTGCATGCTGTTTGCTGCCAGTAAATCAGGGTTTCTCTTGTTCTCCTCTGTCCAGGACAGCTTGGTCCTGCTCCCAGGCACTCTTTCCAGTTCCTGCTTCTCAGATTCCCCTATCCTGGCTTATGATGCCACTTGCTCTGTCCTTCCTTGCCTAGCCCTTGAAATCAACACTTTAAAGAGTTTCCAGCTGGCTCAATCCAGCTGCCTGTCTTTGTTCTATACCCTTCACCTCCCTGAAGAGAGTTATTGTTATTTATTATTATTATTATTATTATTATTATTACTTGATTCATTGAGAGCTAGCATGGCATCATGGTTTGAGAGTCAGGCTGTGACTCTGGAGACCAGGGTTCGATTCCCTGCTTGGCCATGAAATCCATTGGGTGACACTCTCAGCCATAAGTCAGAAACTACTTGAAGGCCCTGAACAGCAACAACAGTCCCACCTTTCTTCAAATAATGGGACTCAAGGAGGCTAGCAACATTTTAAAACAATGCAGATTAAAAACACTACAGTAGCTAAATGAAAGTATAAAATATGCAGTTAAATAATCATATGTTAGAACAATTTAAAATATTGCATGCATTAAATACAAAAAAAAAAGCAAAACAACCCCCCCAATATCCAACCCTGGAGTTGCCTCCAGCGAAACCAAACCATCTGGAGTAGCTGTAAACCGCATCAGTTCTTTTTTATGATGCCCTGGTGATGGCTGTAGTGTTGCTTTGTTGTCTTTTTACAACCGCTGAGTGTCTGTTGTGCCTCCGCAGTGTCCTTGGTACTGGTTGCTTGGTTTGTTCTTTTTGGGAGGTGGCAAGTGAGTCAGTTCATGTGTGTGTGTGCGTGTTGGAAACAAATTCAGTAGTTACTTGGAGTGTGTGCGATTGGTGTGTCAGCTGATCTGATCCTTTGTGTTAACAGATGGGGATTACTGACATACTTTGATGGCTGGATGTCAAGGAGTGCAGTCCGACCTTGGCGTGGATTTCATTTCTGTCTATATGGGATTCTGGAGGATCATGCTTTTTGTGAAGGGGTTTGTAGTGATAAAGTGCATGCTCTGCATGTTGAAGGGCTAGAAGAGGCATGCATCTTGAATGATAAAAATCTTAGTGTTGAAAGGGACCCCATGGGCCATCAATGCAGGCATCTGACTAACATCTCCGACTTTTTCTCCTCTTTGGTTTGTAACATCTTGCCTGATGATGAAGAAGCCATGGAGCTTCGAAAGCTTGCAACAAGTATATTGTGCATTTTGGTTGGCCAATAAAGGTATCACTGTTTGGTGGATTTTTGTTTGAATTTGCTAAATGGCCAACACAGCTACCCCTGCATATTCCAAACCCCTGCCATGAATGAATAGGCAACTAAAACCTTCCTGAAAGATGCTTGTCAAAACCTATGTTTAAATATCTCCAAAAACAGAGAGTCCATAATCCTCTGAGACAATTTATTTCACAGCTCTTACAGTCAGTAAGTTCCTCCTAATGTTTATGTAATTCGAATCCATTGGTTCTATTCTGTGGAGCAGCCGAAAACAAGCTCACTCTATCATTTATATGGTATCCTTCCAGATATTTAAAGGTAACTATCCTGTCATTTCTTCTCTTCTCCAAACTTAAGTTATACCCAGCTCTCTAAGTTATTAAGTCTTGCTTTCCATATCTTCAGTGATCCTGGGCTGCATCTGCACTGCAGAAATAATCCAAGTTGACACTGCTTTACTCCCAGGGCTCATAGCTATAGAATTCTGAGGATTGTAGTTTTGTGAGACACTTAACCTTCTCTGTCAGGGTGCCGGAACAAACTATAGTTCCCAGAAGGCCATAGCATTGAGCCGTGGCAGTTAAAGTGGTGTCAGACAGGACTATTTCTGCAATGCAGATGCAGCCCAGGATGATCATTTCTGCAGTGTGGATGCAGCCATGGTCACCCTTCTCTGGACACCTAAATCTTTGGAGAGCTACTGCCAGCCAGTGTCGACAGTATTGATCAAGATGGACCAACGGTCTGACTCCATAAAGGGAGATTCACAGGTCCCTGCGATTGTGGGCTGCCATATGTGTGTATGTACGTACCTCCCCAGACCATATAAGCACCTGTAATACACGGGTGTCTGTGTATCTTTGTGCATGCAATTAAATTCACATGGGTCTTTGTTTCTGCCTGCATGTGAATGCACTTACACACTGTGGCTTCAAGACACACAGGATTGCAATGGAGACAGTGGCTTTGACAAGAGGCCAGGGATCTGTTGTCTCTGGTGTAGGTGGAAGCAAAGGAGGCTGGGCTGTGACTTGCAGCTCGGAGGAGACTGGTGTGTGTGTGTGTGTGTGTGTGTTTTAATCGCTTCCTGACATACCAAGGCCCTTGCAAGGTTACAGGTTGTGTCTGTGTATGTGAGAGGTGGGGGAGGACCATGAATGTTCCTCCCTTTTCCAAGTATAGCAGTGCTGGGAATTTCCTCTTGTTCTGAAAGCCCTGAAGCCAAGACTGTAAAGGCCAGTGAAGCTTGATGGAAGGAGTTGTGTTGCTTGCAATTGCTAGATTTCCAGTTGCCCCATGCAAATCTCTACCCTCTTGCAGCGACCTTAGATTTGTGCCTGTTCTGCAGATGGAAGAACAGAGGCCAGAGAATAGTAACTTTCCCAAGACCCACACAGATCTTTGGGTTTGCTCCCTCTGCTAGGCCACACTGCTTGCTCCTTTAAGGTCTTTGTGAGAAAGATTTGTGGCTTTGCCTTCCTTTTTCAAGGTGGTGGTGGGGAATGCTTCTCAACTGCATGGATTTGGGCAAGTCAGTAGTCCCTGCTGTGTTTTGGCGTTTCATTTGGAGTTTTGGAAGTAAGATTTGTGTCCAGTTGGCAGTCCCAGTTTAGGACCATTGCTGGAGGAGTCAGCAGCCGCCCTCCCTTTTCCTTCTTGCCAGAAAATGGTTGGCTCTTCAAATAAAACTCTGAATTCAGATGGCCTGATACCAATGTTCAATCTACAAGCAGCTAGCACAATTGTGCAATTTAATTTTCCCCCCCATCCTGTATGATTTCTACTATCTTTGCCTGATGAAGAAGCCATTGGAGCTTCAAAACCTTGCAACATGTATGTATGTATGTATGTATTTGCATTTGGTTGACCTAATAAAGATATTATTGTTTTGTGGATTTTGGATACTATTGTACTTTGCTAGCACAATTGTGTCATCTCAGTAGTTGCAATTGTAGACAACAGTTCTTTATTAGTGGCTGTCAGATTGGCTTCTAGCAACCCTATGAACCAGATTCCTTCTGATCTTTGAAGCCAAGCAAGGCCAGCCCTGGTTAGTACTTGGATGGGAGACTGCCAAGGAATACCAGATGTTGCAGACTATATTTCAGAGGAAGAACCTGGCAAAACCACCTCTGAGTACTCCTTACCTAAGAAAACCTGATGAGATTAATAGGGTCACCAGAAGTCAACAAGCGACTTGAAAGTACCGTATTTTCCGGCATATAAGACGACCCGCGTATAAGACGACTCCCCCATTTTTTCCAGTCAAAATATAGAGTTTTAGCACCTCTATCCTCATTATCCTTATATCCGGCATATAAGACGACCCCCCCCCACTTTAGCCACAGATTTTGCAGGTAAAAAAGTAGTCTTATACGCAGGAAAATAAGGTATATACACTTGGATGAATGAGAGACCTCCAAAACTCCCTGTCATCAACAACCCTGTAAGAACAATTACTTTGCTTATTTCTTTTAAATTTATATATTCTAACGGTAGCTCTTTTATAACTGCACATACTGCAGTTTACATAAAACCATAGCACTAATAAAATGCAATATGCTTACTTTGCATCCTTACGAAGCATGGTTGCAAGCTTGTTACTTTATGCATTTTGTGACAATTTTGCTCCACACTGTTTTGATTCCTTGCAAATCCCCTGACAACTAAGGGTCAGATACTGAAAGAATCTGATGAAATCCATAAAAGCTTATTGTATCATGATAGTTATGAAGATGTAAAAGAGGTGTCTTTGTTTCATGCGGGCAATGCAGACTGGTGGATGGAATTGCAGAATGTGTTTCCAAAGTGGTATTGGTCCACATAATAAAATCTTAGGAACAGCCCTTCGGCTGTGATATAGGTTCTCCCTTTCCCTCACCATCCCTCTGACTCCTTGGCCTGTGTGCAAATAGTTGTCTCAATGTGGCATGGCTCGGATAACCTTGCCCACAAGCTGGAGACAAAGCCCCTTTTGGGATGGGTGCTTGAGCCTGCCTGTGTCTCTAAGAGGCCTGCTGTCATGGCCCTCTGCCCAGATGAAGCTGGCACTTCTGGCCTGTTGCCCTCCTGTCACCGCTGCAAGATCGAGGGCCAGGTCTCTGGGAAGAGTGGCTCTGAGCCGTTCATTTAAGGAGCCTTGTCTTTGGATGGCAAGGCTGGCATTGTGGCAGTCTAGCCTGACCCCTTTGCTGGTGTGCATTTGTGCCTTCAAACTGCCTGTAGACTTATGGGGACCCCATGAATTTCATAGGGTTTTCTTAGGCAAGGAATTCTCAGAAGTGGTTTTACCAGTCCCTTCCTACATTGACAGTCTCCCATTTAAGTACTAACCAGGGCTGACCCTGCTTAGCTTACAAGATCAGACCTGGTGCATTTAGGGAAATCTGTTTATTGTCGTGTGCCTTCAAGTCGTCTCTGACTTATAGCAACCCTAAGGTGGCACTGTCATGGGGTTTTCTTGGCAAGTTTTGTTCAAAGGAGGTTTGCCATTGGCTTCCCCTGAGGCTGAGAGCATGTGACTCGTCCAAGGTCACCCAGTGGGTGTCATGGCCAGGTGCATTTGGTCAGATGCTGGAGTTCCTCCCTGAATTCCTTCCAGTCTGCCTTTGTCGGTACTGTGTGCCTTCAATCATTTCCAACTTACAGCAACCCTAAGGTGGCACTGTCATGGGGTTTTCTTGGCAAGATTTGTGCAGAGGAGGTTTGCCATTGGCTTCCCCTGAGGTTGAGAGTATGTGACTTGTCCAAAGTCACCCAGTGGGTTTCAAGGCTGAGCTGGGAATCGAATCCGGTCTCCAGAGCCGTAGTCCAACGTTCAAACCACTATGCCACACTGGCTCTGTTCTGAGTGATAACACCTGTATTGTGCTATGTGCCTTCAAGTTGTCTGTTGACGTATGCAGACTCCTTGAATTTCTTAGGGTTTTCTTAAGCAAGGGATCCTCAGTGGTGTTTTTTTTACCAGTTTCTTCCTCTGAAAAA